CTCCCCAGCACCCCAGCGCACCGCCCCCTCCGCCCCGACCACTTTATTTCGGCGTCGTCGTCGCCCCCCCCCCATCCCCGTCTCCCCAGCAGCCCAGCGCGCCGCCCCCTTCGCCCCGACCACTTATTTCGGCGTAATCGTCGCCCCCCCTCCCTCTCCACAGCCCGCGCGCCGCCTCCTCCGCCCCGACCGCTATTCGGCGTGTCGTCGCACCCCCTCTCCTCCCCAGCAGCTCGGCTTCGTCGTCGTCCCGCCCCCCTCCCCTTCTCCCCAGCAGCCAGCGCACCGCCCCCCCCCGCCCCGACCACTTTATTTCGGCGTCGTCGTCGCCCCCCCCCCTCCCTCCCACTCTCACCAGCATCCCAGCACACCGCCCCCTCCGCCCCGATCGCCTTATTCTCTTGCACAGAGCTGTGCTCTAGAGCTCGGACATCTTTATTATCTTGCACAGCTGTGCTCTAGAGTTCGGAATCTTTATTTTCGTGTCGTGTCGCGTCGTGTCGTTCGTCCCCCTGCCCCCCCCCCCTGCCCCGCCCCGCCCAGGCTCCCCAGGGCAGCACCCCTGGGCCTCGGACGCCTTTCTTTTCGTGTCGTGTCGTGTCGTTCGTCCCCCTGCCCCCCCCTCCGCCGCCACCCCCCCGCCCAGGCTCCCCAGGGCACCAGGGCAGCCCCCCTGAGCCTCGGACACCTTTATGTTCGTGTCGTGTCGTGTCGTTCGTCCCCCTTGCCCCCTCCCTGCCCCCGCCGCCCCGCCCAGGCTTCCCAGGGCAGCCCCCCTGAGCCTCGGACACCTTTGTGCAAGAGCCAGGGCACGCGTGCCACTTGTTTTCGGCGATGACAGGCGTCATGGGGGGGGGGCGGGGGGGGGGGTATGACGTAACGCCCTCCCCCCAGCCGTGTGGCTTCGGCACCACCGTCACGTTCGCGCGCACGACGACGATGAGCGACGAGCGACGAGAGACGACGACGACGATGACGACGACGACGCGAGCAGCATGTAGGTGGCGGTCAGTCCCACAGCGCTCGTGTACACCACAATGCTCGCGTGCACCACAGCGCGCGTGTACACCACAACGCGTGCGTACACCGCAACAGCCGTGTGCAGCGCAGCGCGTGTGTAAGCAACAATGATTGCGTGCACCACAACGCCTGTATACACCACAGTTGATGGCAGCACAACGTTTTCCTTCCCCCCGCCTTCTCCACCTCCACCTCCTCCTCCTCCACCTCCTCCTCCTCCTTCCCCTCCTCCCCCTGTCGTGCGGGTCGGCGCTACAGCGCACGTGCTCGTCTCAGCGTGCGCCGCAGACTGGCCGATTGAATCAGTCCACTTGGTTTTCGCTCGGACGGCCAATTTTGCTGGAGCCTCCTGGACACAGATGTGGGGAGTTAGGATGATGCGGGCAGACTCGGGAGGACTCGTAGATTACAGCGGTGCTATTTTTTCATAAAGATTTGTTTCGCAATTCTATGCACAACACTTGTATTGTGGAATCCACAAGCACCCCATTTTGTCATAAGGGTTCCTTCCCAAATTCTATATGCAACAGTGGTGCTTTTTTGTGCACACGATTGCTGTCGTGCAAGCAGGCGCCGTGATGCACACAGGCGCTGTAGTGCACGCCGGTTTTGTGGTGTACGCTGGTGCTGTGTCGCGCACGGCTGATGTGGTGTACGCAGGCGCTGTGGTGTACACAAGCGCTGTGGTGCCCGCGGGCACTGTGGCACACACTGGCGCTGTGTTGCACGCGGCTGCTGTAATGTACATAGGCGGTGTGGTGTACACCGGCGCTGTGGTGCGCGCGCGCACTGTGGTGTACACGGCGCTGTGCTGCAGATCGCCACCTACATGCTACTGCTACCCGTCCTCGGTCATTCCCAAGCATTCCCAGACGCTGCCGGCGCGAAGCGTGACGTCATCGGCCCCCTCCCCCCAGATCATTGCCGTCATCGGCCCGGAATGTAAAAAACAGGCTCCCGCCGAGTCCGCGCGCACGACGACGATGATCGACGAGCGACGAGCGACGACAACGACGACGACGACGACTTGAGCAGGGACCGACCGTCCCGGCATTTCTATAGGCCTACCACGACATGTTCTTAGAATCTAGAAATGTCCTAAGAAAAACGATGTTCTTATTTATTGGTAGGCCTATACACGAGCCAGGACGCTTCGCCACTGCTCGAGACGACGACGACGACGACGACAACGACGACAACGACTGCGGACCAGACTCCAATGCGAGTTCCTATGCGGACACCTATTCGGATCCCGATGCGCACGGCGGCAGTGCCCAGAGCGCATTGGGGGGGGGGGGGGAGCGTTAGGGGCGGGGCCATGACGCCCGTCATGCCCCAAGCAATCAAGAAACCCGCTCTAAAACAATCGCGACGGCAATCTGTTTTGTTGTTTCGGCCTCTGGGGCCAGCCCTTGGACCGTCCAGAACGACTCAGGACGAAAAGCTGGCCCATGGGGCAAGAGTCGGGACTCCTGGGGACACCTTACTGAAAAATCTAGGAATCCGATGTCGCTGTCCGCCCCCCTAGGCGCCCGTAGCCTCCTCTTCCCGCCCACGGCTACCTTCTCGCCACGCCACCTCCTGGCAAGCCCCGCCTCCTCCCTCGCCACACTCTTGCCACCTCTGGCCCCCCTCAGTGCCCCTTGCCTCATCTCTCCCCGCCGACCCGACACCTTCTCGCCACCTCCTGGGAAACCCCTCCTCCCTTCCTCGCCTTCGTTTAACTCTGCGCCCTCCGCCTGTTGCCGAGGGGGCGAGAATCTCAAGGCCTCCCAGATGCACGTCGACGTACTACTCATTGTCATCGTCATGGGCATCATCAACCATCACCGTGCACATCATCATCCCATACCCATACCCATACCCATACCCATACCCATATCCATACCCATACCCATACCCATATCCATACCCATACCCATACCCATACCCATACCCATACCCATACCCATACCCATCATTATCATCATCATCATCATCATCACCACCACCATCATCATCATCATCATCATCATCATCATCATCATCATCATCATCATCATCATCATCATCAACATCAACCTCACCATCACCATCTTTCAGCATGGCTGTCATTGTCGTCATAGCCTCGGCCTTCACCCCCACTCTTCCACATCTGATGCATCCCAGGCCCCAGAGAAATACGCAGCCGTGGCCATCATCCCCACTCATCGACAGTCATATGCATCGCAAGCCCCAGAGACCTGGGAGTCTGCGCTGGCCGGTGCGCCACTTCCCCCACAAGAAACATGAAGGGGACGCGACCACAGATCCCCGCGCAAATGCAGAGGTCGTCAGGCAGACCAGGAACGACGTGCCAGCCGGTGCGCCAGAGTCGCCGCGCAGAGAGCTCCTTGGGAACAGGGACATGCTATGAGAGCTGGGGGCGACGACGGCGCACTCGGTTCTCTTCCGAGAGGCGACCGCGCCATCCCGGGCGGTGGCCCCCTCTGCCGAGAGCGTGGCTCGAGCTCGTCGCTTCTCCGTGTCCATTCCCCCCCCCCCTCGGCCTGGATGATGATCCACTGCGGACAATATCTATATCCATATCCAGTGCGTCTTGGACTTTCTCGGAAGGGGCGCCGCAAGGCCGAGGCGCACTGGGTATGGATAAAAGTGGAGCCTTTTGGAGGCAGATTATAATCCATATCCAGTGCGCCTCATGTTTCTTGTGAAGAGAGTCCGAAACTCCAAGACGCACTGGATGTGGCTAAAGACATTGCCCGCATCCACGTCCTCCTCGTCCTGCAGGTGTTTCCCTCCACTGGTGCGGACGGGCCAGGCGAATCGGAACTCACGGGAGGGCTCGGGCCGCGCGCGCATCGAGAAACGAAGAGAGCGACAAACCCCAAAGAGAGGGGCGGCGCTCCTTTCATGCGATGCTACCATCCCCTGAGGCCCAGAGGGAAACGATAAGACGGGACCGGCTCAACTGGGAACCATGACCGGGAATCGGCGACACATCGCCGATGGCCGATGGATCGGATCGGCGACAATGAAGGGGCCCTGGGACACACAAATAAACACACACACACACAAAGAACAGGATTCCCCCTATGTTCCCCCATTTTCGGGGTCTTTTGTCTCCCCCCCACTTCCCATACTTCTTCCCATACCTTCGGGGGTGTCGACGACTCATTGTGTCTGTGTGTGTGCGCGTGTGTGTGTGCGTGTGTGCGTGTGTGTGTGTGTGTGTCTGTGTGTGCTTCCTCCCCTCCCGAGGCAGGCCACCCACAGCTCAAGCACACGCGCTCCTGGGCGGGGTGGGCTACAGGGGCCCCCGCCGCGGGCGCCCGGAGGTTGCTGCCTCCCTCCGCGCCCAGTTCCACCCCCCAAGTCGCTGCCCCGGAACCGAAGGGGCCCTGGGACACACAAAGAAATACACACGAATGAAAGGATGCCCCTACAGTCGGGGCGTTGACCGAAGGAACGATAAATAAGGAACGAGGCCCCTTTCCCATATATGAAACTCAGATTTTCCACGGAAAACCTCAGGAATACATAGGAAAACCCGAGGAGCACTGTAAAGCAACTAAGGAACACGGAGCCCCTCCCAAACAAAAAGGGTTCCTTCTTCAGGGCCCCGACTGTAATGTTTCCATATCTTCTGGGTATTCGTCTTCCCCCCACACTTCCCATATTTTCCCATATATTCTCTGGGGAATCGACGATTGTGTGTCTGTGTTTTTTCCCCTCCTGATGAACGCCTCCTGCATCCGCCAGCTCGTCTCGGAGGACACCAGCAGCAATTTGGACGCCCGAAATGGGTACGGAAAAAACGGGTACAACGCCCAACAACAACGGTTGTCCCAAACCAACAGCGGCCGCTGTTGGGCAGGCGGCCTTCTGCCTCGAATAGACACAGGCCGCGGCGGCGTGGACAGCGAGTCCTGCTCAAAATGCACAAGAACAGCTGTTGGGCATTGCACCCAATCTTTCCGTACCCATGTCGGTCGTCCCGAAACAGAAAGAAAAGGGATGGTCAACGCACCCCGGTGCCTCGGCCTCCCTCCCCCGCCGGCCCTTGTGCCCCCCCCCGCCCCCCAAGCAGAGCACGTCTGCTGTCCCGGTCGCTGTAGCGCGGCGGCTCCCTGTCGTAGCCCCGATCGGGAGGGTCCCTGCCGCTGCCGCGTGCCCCGGCCCTGTCGTGGCCTCCCTTGTCGTACCCGCTCTTGTCGTACGTCTTGTCGTACCTTCGGCCAGGCAGTGCTCTGCAGCTGCGCCCGCACCGCGCCGGCCCTTCTGCCTGTCCCAACTCCCCCTGGCCAGCCTGCATGCCTTACCCACGCGACTGGCGTGTAGCCAGTGCGGGAACGATCCACACTTGGCTCGAATATCGCCAATCAGTAATCGTTCCACCCGTGCGTGCGACCAATGCTTCACACATGAGTCGCAATTGACAATCGACACTGCTTGACAACCATCTCTAGTTGCCCTACACTGCTTCATAAAGGCGCGGCAATGCAATCGCAACCGATCCTCAAGTGGCTCAAACTTCACCGCTCGGTTCCAGTTTGAACAGCAACTGATCGGCAACTGGTTCACACCATGTCACAGTTCGCACTCGACTCAAAAATGAGTTGAAGTTCAAGTGTTCCACAATTGTTTGACAATCAATTTTCTGGAGGTGCACAATTGCTTCACACCGCGAACAACATCGACAACATACTCATAATCCATTCGCAGTTGATCCGCAATCGATCCACAGTCGATTCGCAGTTGATTCCAACTCATCCCCACCGCGACACGAAGACACCACGGCACGACAACACCAAAACACCGCGACACGATGAAACCGTGTTCGACCGTCCGTCAACGCAGGAGGGCAAGCATTCACTTGTATGCAACAAGTGTGCCTTTCCTTGCAATCGTTTTACCATTTGAACCCAGTTTGCGGCAATTTGTAGACTTGCAGAGGATTGATATCATAACGGGTCATCACAAAGCTGACATGGCTCAAGGGAAGGCTAGGGCGGCCCCAAGAGTGCGCAACTTTTGACCACCCTCACCAACAAATATGCCTCACATGAAAACATGAAAAACTTCAAGCACGCGTGCCTGTAAGCGTCCAAATATTGAAGGGTGGCCCAGATTCCAAAGTGTGATGCCGGAGAGGCGTGGCAGCGCGACTGAATTGAACTCAATTGAAAGCACACAGTCCAAGAAAGCCGTGTGATGCACATCACAGAAGTTCACTAGTTAACAGGTGGGCGACGAGTGTGAAGCACCCGAGCCTCGTGGGAGACACACGGCCAGTTCCAGAAACCCTGCACCCCAAATGTTGCCAAGGCTTGTGCTTTCCTTCCGCTGGCTTCCGCCAGCCTTCCACCGGCCCTGTGCCAGCGGAGGGGCGGCCGCGCTGCTTCCTTCCGCGGCCTCCGCCGCCCTGCCGCCTCCTGCGATCCCGGAAGCCGAGGCCCGGTCTGGAACGCCTCACACGCCAACCCTGAGAACCAGGAGGAGGAGGAGGAGGAGGAGGAGGAGGCGGAGGAGGAGGAGGAGGAGGAGGAGGAGGAGGAGGAGGGAGGAGGGAGGAGGAGGAGGGTCGCACCTGCATCGGAGGAGAGGCTTGCGCCTGCAATTGGACATCCGAGCTGCAGCCGCGGACCTCTCCCCCTTGTCGTAGCCGGAGCCGCCGCCTCTGTCGTGGCCCGCGCCCCCCCTGTCGTAGCTGGAGCGCTTGTCGTAGCTGGCGCCCTTGTCGTAGGAGGCGGCCCCCCTGTCGTCGCTCTTCCGGTAGCTCCCCTTGTCCTCAGAGATCCCCCGAGCGGTTCGACGCCGACAGTCGAGGCCTTGCCCCAAGGAGCCCTAAACTAAGGAACGAGGCCCCTATTTTTTCCATGAGTTGAGCTTCGATTTTTCGCTCCAAAACCTGAGGGAAACCTGAGGCAAGCAAGGAGCCCCTCCCCAACGAAAAGGGCTCCTTCTCCAACGCCCCGACTGTACGGCCACGAACTTTTGCACAGCGCGTCGCGGCGGCAGCCACGGCGACACGCCCTGCCCTGCGAGCGGCTAGCGTGCCGCTCCGCTCCGCGGGGCGGGAGGCTCAGAACAGCTCGGGTCGTGGACGCCTGGGGACCGGGACGTGGATACAGTCGGGGCCTTGACCTGAGGAACTTTAAATAAGGAACGAGGCCCCTTGATCCCAAAAGTTACGCTTGGATTTCCCATCGAAAACCTCAGGAAAATCCAAGCCCAACTGTAAAACAATCAAGGAACACCGAGCCCCTCCCCAACGAAAAGGGTTCCTTGTCCAGCGCCCCGACTGCAGCGTGTCGCGCCGACGCGCGGTGAGCCAGAATCGACGCAGCGACACGTTCTCAATAAACTGCCGGCCGCAGTCGGATGGCCTGCCCATGCTGGAGCCGAGGCCGGGCACTGCAGACCAGAGAAAGCACGCAGGAGTGCCGCCGGCAGGGCGCCCGTCGGGGAAGACTCCTCGGCAGAAGAAGCCCAGGCTGCCGCGCACCGTGCCGGATCGGTCGTGGGTCCAGAGCGGACAGGCGGTCTCCAGCCACCCTCACGTCGGCAGCGAGCGAGGGGGGGAAGCGAGAAGGGGCGGGCCTTCTCAGAAGGCTCGCAAGCCCCCCGGCCTTTGAGAAGCTTTCCGGGCCTTCCCCGAAGACGCTGAAGGCGTCCCAGAAGGCGCGAGAGCTTCTGAGAAGTCGCGCCGCCCTCTGAGCAGGCCTCCCCCTTCTCACTCTCCCCCCATGCCATCGCTCGGACGTCCATTTCCCGTGCCCGTGCGCGTATTCTTCGCAGGATGCTCCAGGCTGCTCCTCGCCGAGACAAGTGCACACGTCCGAGCGACGCCAGGCCCCCTCGCTCGCCGCCGATCACCGAACACCGGTGCGGCCAGCCGTGGACCGGTGCCAGGGGCCGTCGCCTTCCCTCAACGCCGCCCCGGGGGCCTCACCTCCTCGTGAACGTTCTCTTCATCGGCGTTTCGACACTTTGCGCAAGGGGGGGGGGGGGAGGGGGGGGGTCTGGCTCCAGACCTGTGCTGAATGCACTTGCTTGCAACAGTGCGTCCTATGGGGGAGATTCCGCCTGCTTGAATCGGGGATGGACAGACCCCCCCCTTCAGTAAAACGTGGTTTAGCGAACACGAACTGAGGCCCAAACCTGGCGGGCGCCAGCCTGGAAAACAACGGCCACGGCGCCCTCTCGAGAGCCGAAAGCGGACAATTCACTAATCGACGTGTCAGTGTTGGGGGTTCTGTCCACCCCCGATTGAAACAGGGGCCACAAACAGCCAAGATCGAAGGATTGCTAAAAAAAACCTGGGATTGCAATCCTGTTTTTTTGGCAATCCTGGTTTTTTTTTGCAATCCTCCAGGGCGGGGGGGAGCGAGGGCCCGCGCCGATCTGCCAAGCAACGGATCAGGACACGACCCCGCCCTTGCACTTCGGTGACCTGCCCCTCCAAGAGGGAAGCGTCTGCACGAGCACACACAGGCGCTGACTTGCCAGTGCGAGCGTGGGAGGATATAGGAAGTGGAGGGGGTAAGGATGGTCCAGCAGATTCGGGGAGACGTAAGACCCGGGTACGGGGGACTCGGAAATCCCCGACGAGGTCGTCAAAAAAATGACGAGGCCGAGCCTGCATTTTGACGAGGCCTCCCGCTGCAGACATCCCACGAAAATCCTCCTCGTCAAAATCCGAGGCGCGGTCGTCAAAAAACGATGGCGAACCCGAGTCCTGGCAAACCCGGGTCTTACGCTCCCCCGACAGATATGGACAATATTTTGTTGGGCCTCGGCCATGCTCGCACTCTGTATGGCACAATTCGCTGCTAAAGGTGGAAAGCAGAAAGGTCGGAACACGTCGCCACGTGTACGAACAAAGGACAAGAGGAGAGGAAGGTGTGAAGAAACCAGCCTTGGGTGTCCTCGGCTCGCCAGCCGAACGACCGGTAAATGCAGCTCTTGGCGTCCCCGGCTCGCCAGCCGAACGGCCGGTATGGACAAGGAAGATTGGAGCTTGTGTCGATTTGTTCCCTGCCAGTCCCCGCCGCTCCCACTATTCGTCTACAACTCCTCCTCCTCCTCCTCCTCCTCCTCCTCCTCCTCCTCCTCCTCCTCCTCCTCCTCCTCCTCCTCCTCCCCCGCCTCCCCGCGGCGGCGGGGACTGGAGTGGGCCCTGGGCCCCTCCCGTCCCCGCCGCCGCCCACCTGGAGAGCGCTCCGCGCGCCCTGTGGGCAGCAGTCCGCTCGAGGGCTGCCGGCGAACGACCGGACCCGCTGCTTCACTCTGCCCTCCCGTCGTCACGTGCAAAGAGGGCCTGGGACCCACAAATGAATACACACAAATCCCAGGGTTCCCCATCTTTCCCCTATTTTCTGGGTTGCCGTCTTCCCCCCCAACTTCCCATATTCTCCAACATTTTCCTGGGGGCCGACGATTAATCGTGATTGTCGGTTTTTGCCCCTCCTGAAAGTGATTTGTTGCCTCGCATCCTGCAAAACCACGCCATCGCATGCCATAGCCCACACTTGGACACTCGCCTCCATCTGGGGACAATCGCGCGTGTCTTTGTATGCTCATCCTCTCATGCGCCCTTCCCGACCAAACGACATCGGGAGCCCTCCCACCAGGTCGGAGGTGGGGGTGGAGGGATTGGTAGAGAAACAAACCTGGCAATACGATTCTGTCGAATTCTTCAGTCGTAAGTCTCATGTGTATCCCCTGCATCCCGAGACCCTCCCCCACATTCGGAGCTACAAGGACCTCCCTCCTTCCAGAAAGCGCCTGGGCGGAGGCAGAGGGGAATGAATCCCGCCAGAGCGGCACCAGAGCGGGCATCCTGTAGCAAAGCGGCGCGCGTGAAACCCAACAATATTTGCTTGCTCTGACCCGCGATCCGGGCCAATACTCGAGTGATCAGACGGGTGACCTAGGATCTGATGCACGACCCGAGCGCCCGGCAAAGCTGCCGTAGCCACCCTTGTCGTAGCCGCCGCCGCCGCCGCCGCCCCTGCCGAACTTGGAGGTGTCGTCCCTGCGCGAGCCCGGTGAAAGCATGGAGGCGTTAGGGGCGCGGAGTGGTGGATGCCTCAGGCTGTTGCCCTTCGGGTCTCTTCCCCTGCTTGTGAGGAAGCAGCTCCTTGTAGGTCTTCGTGGGAACTGTTGAAGGCTACTGAGCTGTATTGAGGGTCTGTTGGGCCTGACTCAGCAAGAGTAAGTCTAGGATTGAACAATATTGAGCAAACTTAAGCCAGATGAAGCGGGAAGATGCCAGAGTAGAACGGTCTTCGACCGCGGGTATGCCAACGCCGATGCTGACCGCAACCTCCCAGGAGTTGCATCCGCATGCTTTGGATGCATGCCCCGTCAGCTAGCGGTGGTCTCAATAACGTGCTCTAAGGAGCCCGAAACAATTACTCGCCAACGCTGGATAGCATTCGCACTGCCGCCATACCCACGACCACCGACGCCCTTTCTTCGTCTAGCCGTCCCCAGGCCTCAGCAGTGAATAACAGCATGTCTCCCCTTTCGACCGCAACTCATGTTGGAGCACCTTTCCCAAAAAGGCTGCTACCATGGGAAACTGCCCACGTACGAACGGGCCGCTTCCATGGGCGGGCCGCTCTGCAAAGGGCTGCCTGTCATAGGACTTGCCAAACGACTTGTCGTCGTAGGACTTGTTGCCGTACGACGAGTTGCCGTAGGACTTGCTGTCGTACGACTTGTTGTCATAGGACTTATTGCCGTAGGACGCTCCCCCGTACGGCTTGTCATACGACTTGTCGCCGTAGGATGATCCTGCGCCGAACCGGCGGAGCTACATGTGCGAAGAGGGAGGATGCCAGGAGAGAGCAGATCTTCGGAAAGCAGGCCACGTGGGACGGGACAGCACACTGCCGTCCCCTTCGCGGGGCTTCAACGCTGTTGATCACATGATTTACCAAGTGGCACCTGCGCGTTCTGTAAGTGTTCCCTGCAAGGACGTAGGTCGTCGTGGAGGTCTGATGTACTTCTGTCTCGTGCGTGCTGGTCGCCAGATCAAGCGAGGATTGATGCAGTTGTTCCAGCAGGTCGCACATGACAATGAAAAGTATTTGCGCGCACGACCACCCAGGTCACAGAACATGCAACTTACAACGCACTGGCATTGTTCCCGAGGCCTCCAGATGCATCCCATAATGCACCCAGCCGAATTACTGCACAGATGTGCACTCACATGGCCCACGGCTGCACCAACATTGTCGCAAGGTGGCTCCGAGATGCCCCTGGAGACGCCGCAGCATCCCCCAATGTGGCATCCAGGGCGCTCCATTCTTCGAAACAACCCAAAACAGGAACCCACCTTCCAGGAGCAAATAAGATAAACAATACCAGCATGACTTGATTCTCCGTGTGCCGCATGTCGCCCGCTTTCTTCCATGAGATGTCCCAAGATTGCTCAAGATGGCCCGATGAGCTCCAATATGGCTCCAACACTCCTTTAGATGTTCGCATAAGCCCCAATATGGTCTGGCTGCCATGCACACTCCAATGTGTTTGAGCCCGATGTTGGACCCGCCCGTGGATTCAACAAGCTTGGGCCCCGAGCCCTTTTTGACGCCAGGAGGGGGTGGGTCCTCCATACGAACACATGCACAACTTCCAACAACAATTTGCGGCTCGGAAACTATCACCGCGGGATCGTATAACACACCAATTTCAGAATGGTCTCGTCTGCTGGCAGTATCCGCGTACGCGCGTGTTTTGACAAGGCTTGTGTCCGCCTCGAACGGCCTCCTTTGCCTGACAACATTGCCATGTCTCAGTTCCCTCTGCCAGAATATGCTCCTTTCTTTTTTACGAGCAATCCACCTTGATCCCATTTCTCTGCTCATCACATCATCGCCCAAGTAGCGCCAACGCGACTGCGATGCGACGACAACGACGTTGCTACTTGCTAGCTGCGTGGTCGTGAGTTGCTGTTGTCCGCGGCAGAGAGAAATAGAGAGAGAGAGAGAGAAAACAAAAAAAAGGAAAGAGAGAGCGAGATACAGAGGTTTTGAAAGAGTGCGTTTGCAATTGCAAGCTCGTCGCTTCGAGCGGACATGCGATTTCGAGTGTTAGCCATCCTTGCCAACAACATGGATCTCTCCGCTGGAGATGACCACCCGTGAGAGGCATGCGACTGCCGATGGGACAAAAAGAAGACCGCGACAGGGGTGGCGGCAGCCTGCCCACGTCTTGCTGTTCTTGCCGTAATCCGCTGAGCCACCTTGGCCGATCGCAGCAGTACAATCGGCTCGCCCTCGCGCTCACGCACTGGAGCCGCGAGGTGGTGACAAGTGCCTGGAGCGCTGGAGCAACCCGCGCAACATGCATCGAGATCGACGGCCCTGCAACGCGTCTTCGAGTCGCCCGGAGATCTCGCTGCCGGGACCCGGTCCAAACGATGCAGTGGCTGTTCATGGTAAGACTGCGCCAACTCTGCTCCCCAGTATCTACTCTCTCTCACTCGAGAGCCTGCGAGCCTTACATCGCCGGGAAGCCACGGACCCGAACCAGGAACCCACGAAACCGGTCGCACACCGAAATCTGTGCCGCCCTTTTGCCCAAAACATTCGTTGGAACCTGGAACCCAGAACCCGACCGCCCACCGAAATTGGCCCAGCCAAGTCCTTCGACTTCCGCTAAGACACCTTCAGGGCAACTGCTGATTTGGGCATGTCAATCTGCAGGGTTAGCGCGATCGTCGCTACACATCGTCTCCTCATCGCTCTCCTGATCCTCCTGCGCTTCACCCCTTCTGAATAAACAGCGCTGCCTCGAACGTCAAGCAGCGTCGGGTCACGACTCTCGCCTAGCACAGACACTTTTGGCGTCGGCGGCTAGGCAGGGGGTGACTGCGCTGGCGATGAATGGCATGAACGGGGATACCGCTGAGGCCGACTTGTGCCACCATGCAGGAGGAGGAGGAGGAGGAGGAGGAGGAGGAGGAGGAGGAGGAGGAGGAGAGAGGAGGAGGAGGAGGAGGAGGACGCGGAGGAGAGAGGAGGAGGAGGAGGAGGAGGAGGAGGGAGGAGGAGGAGGAGGAGGAGGAGGAGGAGGAGGAGGAGGAGGAGGAGGAGGAGGAGGGAGGAGGAGGAGGAGGAGGAGGAGGAGGAGGAGGAGGAGGAGGAGGGAGGAGGAGGAGGAGGAGGAGGAGGAGGAGGAGGAGGAGGAGGGAGGAGGAGGAGGAGGAGGAGGAGGAGGAGGAGGAGGAGGAGGAGGAGGAGGAGGAGGAGGAGGGAGGAGGAGGAGGAGGAGGAGGAGGAGGAGGAGGAGGAGGGGAGGAGGAGGAGGAGGAGGAGGAGGAGAGAGGCTGGTAAGGCGGCCGGCTCAGGGGTCAGAGCGCTCCCCGACCGAGCACAGGCACAGGCACGATCACACAGCGCCCGTTGCGGACCCGCCACACGCCAGCGGCACGATCTTCAAGCGGCGCGGCCCACGGCAAAAGGCGGTGCACCCCGAGCCGGCGCCGCGCACCGGCAAAGCCCACAGCACTGCCGGGGCGGCCAGGGCGGGCGCCCTTCCAGCTCGAGCCGCCGCCGCCGCCCCAGCTGTCCGTCTTGCCGCCGCCCCAGCTGCTCTTGCCGCCGCCGCCGCCGTCCTGCGCGGCGGGGGGGGGCTCTGACGGATCAGCTGTTTGACATATCGCTGGCCGCGGCGGCCTTCCCGCGGCGCGGGGCCGAGAGCGAGAGAAGCGGCCCAGCAGCCAGGGGGGCCCTTCACAATCCTTGGCAGCTTTCGCGCCTCTGGCTGCCTGGGGTGGGGGGACTCCTCCCAGAAACTGCAGCCAGGCGAGAGCTTCGAAACGGCAGCGCTGGCGCCCCGATTGGCCTCGCATGGTCCGGGTTGTAGGCCCGATGGCCGAATCATCGAGCAGGTGTCAAAACGGGCGAGGTGCACCGCACGGGAGGTTCCAGGGGGGAGCCCAGGGGGATCCGAAGTCGATTCAGGAGGTGAAGCACACGATGCGTTTTGTAAAGGGGTGATTCGAGCGTGGCCAGCCAGAATAAAGATCTACGCTTCCTCATCGTGAATCCAGGTGTTCCCTTCCCTCTTCTGGGGCGATCCATGGACTCCTTCTGACTCCTCCGGGGAAGAAGTCCTCCCAGGAAGAATATGCAGGACCATCTCGAGGTGACACCGTGACACAACAGAACCTAGCCCAAAGCGGGCACGACAAGCACAACCCAGAATAGAAGAGGACCCTGCAAGTGTCGCTCGATCTGCGGCTTCTCGCAGCTCGTTTTGAGTGTGCCTGCAGCTGCACTCATTGGCCTCGCGTCTGCCACACGCCAGGCTCCATCAAGAGTCTCCGTGGAGGCCTGGTTCAGGCTGCGCAAGAGAGGTGGCACACGGGGGCGAGCCAAGCGTGCATGACGCGCGGAACACGTAGAAACCCAAGGGAGTGGAAGGAACGTGCAAGGTCGCTGCATTGTGCAGGAAAGGGGGTAACAATGACGTGCCTTGGAGAACGTAACTGCTTTCTGTGACACCTTACTTCGCTAGTGCCGCCGCTCCCACCACCGCCCCCAAGACGTGAGTGAGAACAGCAGAGCGGTGATCCAAGTGGCGATCATTCGAATGTGTGCAACAATCGGCACATTCAAATATAAAAAGTTGGCAAGGAATCACGCGTATGATGTCGGAGAAGAGCCCGACAGATGAGATCAACACGCATATGCAATGCATCCCCATCTCGCAGGGCAATGTGTTTTTTCTCTACATACTCCTTGCCTCATCCAGTCCACTGTCATTGGGAAGGGAAGAACACATTGCAGGTCGAGCCTGCAGAACACCCCTCCGCTGAATTCACATTCTAACTGCATGCGGTGGTCACAAGGCGTCCGACCCCCCACCAAAAAAATCCCATATGCGTGTTACATAGTGTCGACGTGTTCCAGCTTTCGCCGACGTTCACCTATTGGGAAAGAGCTCGGGGACTTAGGGTGAGATCAAGGAGGAATAATAAACCCCTCCCCCTCCCCGTCCGCGTCCTCAGGAGCCTCTTCCTACCCAGCCTCCTCCTCCTTCTCATCCGGCTGCCTCCACTCTCTTGTCTGTCTACCTGCCGCCAGTGTCCTTCCAGGACTGCTTCCAATCGTTGCCACCTGCCCCAACGAACGCGAGAGGGGGGAAAGCGAACACGCAGAGGTTGTACGAGCGCAGCTGTCAGGTCGAGGGGAGGTTTGATGTGGGAGGGTTTTGTCGTGGAGGCCATCTCCTGCATTGACTGCCACGAGGTCTCGCTGCGGCTGGGTCGACAAGAATATCGGGGACAGCAGGATGCAGAAACAAGAGGGCATAGAAACAAGTAACCAGACGAACAAACCGTGGCAACAATACATCGGAAGTGAAGGCAGAAGCCGAACCAGACGCGTACGCGGATTAGTGATTTGCTGACACCTACCCCGACGCAGACATATCCTCCACGGTGCCGTAGGCGTCTCTAGGAATGATGCATAACTTAGGTGAGTAGCAATCGCGAGTGTCAATATGCCTTCGCGCAGTATGGATTCGGCTTCAGGGCATTTTCTCAATAGTGTAGCAGGCGCTGCAATCGAAAACTCACGAGATCCCGAGACAACGAGAGCGACGAGGTTGAGGACGTCGGCAGGAAGCATGAGGCATGAGGCCAACAGTTCAGGACGGTAGCCGGGCAGATCGATTCTAGCAACCGTCGCGCGACCCGAGCGCAGCCGAGAAGTCAACCTTCGGGACGGCGACACCAGACCGACGTGACCCGCCCACGAGGGAGGAGCGAGGAGGAGCGAGGAGGAGCGAGGAGGACCGACGAGGAGGAGGAGGAGGAGGAGGCGGAGGAGGAGGAGGAGGAGGAGGAGGAGGAGGAGCGAGGAGGAGGAGCGAGGAGGAGGAGGAGCGAGGAGGAGCGAGGAGGACCGAGAAGTCAAGCCTCGAGCGCAGTCGCTCTCCGGGTGGGGGTGGCATGCGCCCCATCCCTCGGCACCTGCTCGCAGTCCATGCCGCCAGAGCTAGGCGGCGCGCCCAGGGCGGGCCCTCCCAGGAGGCTCGGAGGTCCCCCTGGCCTGCTGAACAGTGTTCTATGGGCCTTCTCCGAGACCACAAAACTTTCTTAGAAGGCGCGAGGGCTGCTGAGAGGTCCCGCCGCCTTCTGAGAGGGCCTTCTCCTTCTCACTTCCCCCCTCGCTCGACGCGGATCAATGCCGCCAACGCCTCCTCTTCCTCCTCCTCCTCCTCCTCCTCCTCCTCCTCATCTGCCAAAAGTGCGCCATCGTTTGACGCGAATCTGGGCCGAATTCACAAGGCGAGTGGGCGAGTGCGCAGGCGACGGGGTGGGCAGCATAGGGGAGCCGTGTGTGGCAAGAGGGCGGGCCATGCACTCCCCAAAGCAGTCGCCTTCGGCATCTCGCACCTCAACGCCTACATCGACTCACAGCTCGGAAGCTCCCACCAACACCATGCGCTGCGCATGGAGAGCGTCAAACGAGCAAGACCAACGAGGCACTGGACTCCCGCCCTCACCCGCGGGAGCAACGACACACTGGACTTCCCGCCCTCCTCTGCTGTCGTTCTTCCAGGAGCTGCCGCCGTTCCACTTGTCGCCGCCGCCCCAATCTCCTGCGGCTCCGCACGGTATTAGCTTGTCGTTCTGTTTTCAGGCGCCCCGTGAGTCCCGGTTTGGCCGAAGAAGGGATAGCGGTTATCGAACACAGCCAGGGGCATCCTCCGAGCAATAGCAGATGCTACGAAATGACTCCGTTGCGGCAGAATGCCCTAAACAACTTTGAACATGTACGGTGGGGGCCACGCTGGGGGGTTCACGATGGGGGGGGCACGATGAGGGGATCGGGATAGGGACGGGGGTACGAATGCACGAGGGTCGGGGATAGGAATATAGAGTCAGGCTTAACATGGATAAACATGGGGCCATGGATCTGCGCCGGACCCTCCTCCCTGGCGCGCGGAGCGCGCCAGGGGCGGCGCCGGAGGCGCCGCCGGGGGGCCCCGGCGCGGGGCCAAGAAATCCGCGCGGAGCGCCGCAAGCTTATGTTCATGTGGTTCTCTCTTCTTCGAGGCATCCGGGGTCGGGATCACATGGACAGACATGGGGCCGAGAGGGTAGGGACTGCCGTGGCAGGCAGCGGAGGGCCACGGGAGTTCACGGAAGGCCACGGGAGGCCCCGGGAGGCGCAGCGGGAGGCGGCGGCAGCCAACGGGAGGCCACGGGAGGCGACGGGAGGCCACGGGATGCAGCGGGAGGCAGCGGGAGGCAGCAGGAGGCAACGCCGCCAGCCAGATGGCAGATCCAGCCACGGAATGACGACCCCTCAAATGCATACATATATATATATATATATATATATACATATATAGATGTATATATGTATACATATATGTATATATATATACATATATACACATACATGTTCATTTAGACCTACGTAGATGTACGAGCATGTGTGGGCGTGTAAGTGAGAATGGAGGGGGTGCTCCTGTTCCTGCGAGGGGTGTCCAGAGAAAACAAGAAACCCACTTTGGATGTGGGGAACTGGGTATATGTATAGGTACTTGTACATGTAAATATACATATATTACACAGAACCCCCTTGCGGACAGGGACAAGCTAGTCGAGGAACCAAGACTCAGCAGGAAACGCAACCCAACCGGTTCGCACAGTCGTCGTTGGAAAACGGGGGGGGGAACTGCCCTGCCGCTTCCTGCAGCCTCCGCACACTGAAACCACCCCCTGGCTTCACAGGATCCCGCCGCAACCCGCCTACGACAATTGTACGACCAGTGCGACTGCAGGAGTTGCGTGCTCGTTCACGGTGTTTGTAAACGTAGAGTGAGGAACCATACGCCTTTCGCGCACCTTTTGGGTCAGCGGTGGCAGAGCAGGGGCCTGGTAGGACCTCTTGAAGGGCACTCTCCTGCAATCCTCGGTCCCCGTGCATGTATTGCCCTCCCTTCTTGGATGAATGACGGTGTTTATACGCACTTACAGAACATATGAGTACATAGCTTCTGCTTACGCAGGTTACTACAACAAGATATACTTAGGTTAGTACTTGAGATACAGACGTACTTATAACCAGGTGTTAGTAGGTTAGCTAACTAGCTTAATCTAGTTACGATAAGTCCGCTATCCTGGATACGCTAACTCCGCTATCCTGTATACGACCAATAACAAAACTTTAAACATCTACTAAATTTTAAATAACAAGGCCATGTAGTTTCGAAAACAAGCCGCATACAAACAAACATAAACAACACAAAACACATAAACGCACACGTTTGAAGCATCGGCGTGCACATTGATTGTTTCGAGGGGCCCTTTGGGGGCCTGGGGGAGAGCGGCTCTATGGGCTCCATGGGGCCCTTTGAGGGTTCCTCCAGGGGCCCCCTGAGGGCATTCGAGGGGCTTCTCAAAGCCAACTAAAACAAATCCGCCAGACAGCACGGCCAGCAACACTATGTTTCATATTTTTGTGCATAGGACGTGCCGAAGTTTCGGCGGCAACAGGACCTGACATATGCTGCCGACCTCTGCGGGCCAGAACACGGTCGGCTCCAGCAGACTGGAAGTAGGCACTACAATCGGAGCATCTTGCACGATACATTTTGCAACGTGAAACTGGACCGACTGAAGATCCCATTCGCTCACGCAGCTGACCACGACTCCATCGATGCTGCAGTGGCACCATACTTCACCAAATCGAATGAGCCCATCATCATTCTGGAATGCGACCACATCAGCAGCCCGGATGAGTTTAAAATTGACAAATGCTTTTGAACTTGCCAAGATGGTTGCTGCAGGGCTGATACCAAATTCCGAAGTCAAGGCGCAGCGCATTTTTTTTGATGCCGCATGCGGCTCCACGAGGTCTGACTTAAATATAGGATGCTGCAGGTGATACACTGCATCAAGAGCAACTGCCTCTACCAAACCCTTCTCGTAACTACGGTCATTATGGCGAGACTCCGCGAGACGTTTCACTGTTTTGTGCTTCCTTTCCATGAGGAAGCACGACACCAACTGCCTAAAACGAGCGAATTGTGGGCCTATGTGGGTTGCCCAGTGGTTCTTGGGTTTCCACGAGGACTCTCCATACGCAACTTGATGAGCATACAAATGGGTTAAAATCGAATCGTCCAAAGAGTTCGCACTCACAGTGCCAGAATTTGCAACGCTGAGTAGCTCAAGCACCTTGCACAACAAAATTGCACTCTCAACTTGCGGCCTGCACTGGCCAGAAGGATACGCGATATCGACGAGAAACTTGTGCAGCACAGGTGCAAGGGCCAACATCTCGGATGCCGACCCTCCTGGCGTAAATGATTTGTTGCCTTTGCATATGTTTCGGGCGTTGCTGTAACAACCAGGCCACCTGAAATTCTGGAGGTATGCATCCAACTGCTTAGCACCTAATCTATTATTGGTTGCTTCGGCGAGCGACTGCATCAAGCAGACCACCTCATTATTGAATATTCCATCAACGGCGTATATGTGCATCCAGTCCCAGCCCCAGACAGAGGCTAGCCTCACCCGTAAATCCGAATCTTGCATCACGCCAGTTTCGCAATATATGAAACCATAGTACACCTCGACTTCCTTCAGCTTGACGGGGTCGGTTGTTGCCAGATGCACCAGCCTGGACTGCATAGACCAGATGTCTTCGTCAGTCAATGCCTTAAACTCTGAACGATCTAAAGTCGATGACGGGAGGCAGAAGTTTGTGCGCCCACCGACATACGCCGAGTTAATGCCCACAATGTTGCAACACAGTGGGCATATTTTCACACCGTTGCAGCCTTTTGTCGTCAGCATGAACTTGTGCGCTCTCTCGTCTTGCACAATTAAATGCAACTTGGCAAATAGCAGCCGTGGGCTGTCCTCCCCTGGAATCTGAAATGAGACTCCATGTCGGAGGTCATAAGATGACGGTTGCCCAAAAAACAATTTCAACAGCGCACGAGTAAATTGAGACATGCCTCCACTCAGTTTGTTCACATGCGAGGACCTGCAGCACGTCAGAGTCATCCATACTTCCTCGGCGGACAGGGCTGGATACCCCATGTTGTGGATTGCCCAGTAGAGCGTCTGTACTTTACGAAAATTATGAAGCCCCAAGCTGTTCCCAGGTGTTACTTCATCTGAATACAGTATCAATTCCATTACATTGCTGCTGGCGTCCATTGTTTGAATGAACACCTGGCGAAACTCCGACGATACTGTCAGCGCTACTTCCAGCATTGCCAATGGGTGGATCACCCAGCAACCGAAACCAGGAGTGAGGAAGTCATCGGGAAGTCTCTGCACGAGCGGTCCAAATTGAGTCCCCTGGTATGCAACATCTTGTCTGGCCTTCCGCACGGCCCAAGTCGAAGTCGCACTTGGACACTCAGCCTCTGAATCCCTCAGCTCTTTCAACACAGAAGCTAAACCTGCATCGGTGACGTGAGACTTTCTGCCGAGGTCTGACAGCTTCAATCTCTTTGGATGTCCTGACATGACCTGAGCCAAAACGGCTATGCACGTGCATATACACGTATGTTGCATGGTTGTATACGCATGCGTATATGTGTTTATGGGGGCATGTGGGCTACAACAGTACCATGGGCAGCTGCCTTGCAGCAAGAAGCCGAACTACTACAATACACATGCATGCATACATACATACATACATACATGCATGCAGACAGCTTGGGCCGTCTGGCAGGACCGCTCTTGGGCAGTCATAGGTAATAGGGCTACCTTGGGACATATTGGGCATAACCTGAGCAACTGCCACGACTGTGTTGAAGGCATCTTGGGCCATTTTGGGAGCCCATTGGCCGTGAGGCCGATTTTGGAACGCCGTTCCATGTTAGTGTTGGGGCATACTTTGGAACGCCGTTTCAATTTGCATCTGGGGCAGCTGTCACGACTGTCTTGAACGCCTCTTGGACCATCTTGGGAGCCAGCGAGCCCGCGAGGCCGATTTTGGAACGCCGTTCCAATTTAGTTTTGGGGCAGATGCTGGAACGTAGTTCCAATTTACTTCCAGGGCAACTGTCACGACTGTCTGGGAGGCATCTTGGGCCATCGTGGGAGCCGCTTGGCAGTGGGCCGCATTGGGGGGTCCTCTTGGGCAGGGGTCCCGTCTTAATGGCATTGCTTGCAGCTGCCGTAGCCTTTTCGTTCGTAAGCCCAGTGGCTTCGCCAACGTGCGGTGGTCAGATGCGCACACCGCCGACCCCGAACTCAAACTCACAGAAGGCAATTTACTAGTGTGCACGTCATGCGCATTCCAGGTGAACAGTCGCTGACTGGCCCACGTGTGACAACCCTATGCAGGCAAACCTATCGAATTCGCAGGCCGTCGTTAGCACGAGCTGCGCACATAACATTGAACGCGTGCCAACATGCTCCAGCCTGGTTCAAAATTGTTGTCAGACATGGATGTGGACAACCGCCCCTAGTCATCTTCACATGTATCTGCCCCCCCTCATGCAATGCCTACCTGGAAGGCCAACATGCCCGTCGGGCACGTAGCGTGCGTGCCTAGCTTTCGTCCCAGAGTTTACCAGCAGCCTGATACCCTTCCCGTGCAACGCAAATCGAATCAAAGTCACTC